CTTCAGTCAAGAAAGTTTTGCCTCTTATTATCCAACAAGAATGAGAATTGAAAGAATCTGTTAAATCTACCCACTGCATGCTTTACTCGCACATCCAAACCACTAAATCTGTCTTCTACTTAGTCTAATGGATTGGACAATAATAACAACAAAGTATGCATATACTGTGGAAAACCACGACACACCATGGAAACTTGCTACAAGAAGTATGGATATCCACCTGGTTTCAAATTCCGGAATAATAGAGCTTCTGTTCATAATATGGTGATATCTGACTCTTCATCTGCTGAGGTTTTGCCTTGCGCACTGCTCTCTGCCAACACTACTAGTCCTAGAACTCAAGATCAATACCAAGAATTATTAGCTCTGTTACAACCTCCTGTTGCGTCTCAATTTTCTGTATCTCCTCCTACCCCTATTTCTGCACCTAATTCTACTCATCATGTTAATCAAATGTCTTCTCTTACTCTTATGCCTGATCTTGATAAGCCAAGTAATCATACTATTCTTTCTCTTCACTTTACACATGATTCATCTTGGATAATTGATAGCGAAGCTACAGCTCATCTTTGTTTTTCTCTACCCTTATTCACATCTTATTCTGAAGTCTCACCTATTCGAGTTACTCTTCCTATACACTCCACTGTCATCACTACTATTTCTGGTACTGTTGAAATAACTCCTTCTATATGCTTAACTAATGTTCTGTATATACCTGAATTTTGTTTCAACATTATATCTCTCACTTAGATGACTATACAACTTCATTGTTGTCTTATATTTTTCTCTTCTTATTGCTTGATTCAGGATCTAAGGGCATGAAAAATGATTGGTACTGCTAATGTTTCACAAGGTTTATACATGTTGCAAAGTCACAATTCTTCATCTACTTGTGTGAATTCTGTTTCAACTTCTTTTACTCCTGATACAACTTTTCAATTTCATATATGGCATTATGGTCTTGGTCATCTTTCTTCTTCTGTTTTAGACACTTTACATTCTTAATCTTCTTTTAGTCCTTGTATACCACATAATTAAAGTTGTGATGTATGCTATGTTGCAAAGCAAAGAAAATTACTTTTTGCTACTAGTGTCACTCGGACTGCTCATTTTTTGGAACTTGTACATGCTGATAAATGGGGTCCCTATCATATTGAATTTATTCATGGCCACGAATATTTCTTAACTATTGTTGATGACTATACATGTCATACTTGGGTTTGTCTTCTTAAAGATAAATCTGAAGCCCATTCATCTCTTCAAAATCTCCTTATCTTTCTAGAAAATCAATTCAATCAGATTGTTAAAATTGGTCAAACAGATAATGGTCCTGAATTTCAAATGACTTTATTTTATTCTTCCAAAGGCATTTTACATCAGACCTCTTGTGTTGAAACTCTAGAACAAAACAGTGTGGTTGAAACAAAACACCAACGTATTCTCAATATTACTTGTGCATTAATGTTTCAATCTCATTTGCCTATGATTTATTGGTCCTATGCCATTTTACATGCTGTTTAATTACTCCACTAATTACCTTCTCCTATTTTAAAGAATAAATCTCCTTTTCAATTACTCCACCATAACTTCCCTGATTATGCGATGCTTAAAGTTTTTAGATCCCTTTGTTATGCATGCACATCTTCTCAACAGCTTACTAAGTTTGACACTAGAGCCCGCAAATATGTTTTTCTTGGTTTTAAACTAGGGACAAAAGGCTACATCCTTCTTGACTTACACACTAATCAGATTTTCATTCCACGGCATGTCATTTTCTATGAATCCATTTTTCCATTTGCCACAGTTTCTATGCATGTTTCTTTTCCTACTTCAATTTTTCCTATGCCTTAATCTTTTACTCCTATTGATGATCTTGTTCCTCAACTGTTCCTTCTCTACCTACTACAACTGTTCCTTCTGACTTTGTTACTTCTTTATCTTCCCTTTCTATTACTGACCATGTTTCTTCTTCATCTCCCTTTCTGTCACCTTCTACTCAACATTCCTCTTTATCTCCTTCTTTACCAACTCCTGTTCCTTCTCATCATTCTAGCAAAACCATCAAGTAGCCTTCATACTCAAGTAACTATCATTGCCTTCTATTAAAAATAGACCAGTTCGCTTCTATGTCTACGGCCTGCAGGTATCCTTTACAAAGTGTTCTATCCTATGATCATCTATCTTCTTCATATAAACATTTTGTTTGTTTCATAACTTTTCTTCATGAACCAAGATCTTACAATAAAGCCATTAAATATCCTGAGTGGCAACATGCCGTGGAAGCTGAAATTTCAGCTTTAATTTAGAGAAAAACCATACTTGGATATTGACTGAGTTACCTAAGGATAAATTTCCCATTGGCTATAAGTGGGTGTTCAGGACAAAATTTCGTGCCAATAGAAGTCTTGAGTATTATAAGGCTTGCCTTGTTGCAAAGGGGTATACTCAAACAGAAGGAGTTGAATACTTTGATACTTTTTCCCCAGTTGCTAAAATGACTACTATATGTCTCTTACTTGCCATTACTTGGCATTTGGAACAACTAGATGTGAACAATGCCTTCCTATATGGGGATCTGACTGAGGATGTTTATATGACTCTTCCTCTTGGGTTTTCCTCTTCTAATCCTAAACTAGTGTGCGAACTACAAAAATCACTTCATGGTTTAAAACAGGCCATTCAACAGTGGTTTGCCAAGTTATCCATAGCCCTTACTTCAAGTGGCTACAACCATTCTAAATCTGATTATTCTTCATTTGTTCATAGCCACAACACCTCCTTCACTGCATTATTGGTTTATGTTGATGATATAAGGCTTGCAAGCAATGATCTTAGTGAAATTAAGCTTATCAAGACATTTCTTGATGAATCTTTTAAGATCAAGGATCTTGGCAAACTCAAATTCTTCCTTTGTCTTGAAGTTGCTCGTTCCTCTACTGGTATAGCATTGAACTAGTGTAAATTTGCTCTTGATATTCTCTCTGATGCTAGTTACCTTGCCTGCAAACCTGTGTCAACTCCAATGGACAGATCTACATGATTGTCAAAAGATCATGGGACTCCACTCAATGACATAGCCAGCTATCAAAGATTGATTAGCCACCTCCTTTATGTTAGGATAACTCGACCAAATATTTCCTATGCTGTTCAATAGCCCTGTCAATTTACTTAGGCCCCAACTACAACTCATTATCAAGCTACACTTCGGGTTCTAAGATATCTTAAACAAAACCCAGGGAAAGGACTTTTCTTTCCTTCTTTATCCACTTTCAAACTCAAGGGTTTTAGTGATTCCAATTGGGCAGGGTGTCCTAACAGTCGCAGATATGTAACTGGCTTTTGTATTTTCCTTGGTCGAGCTCTTATCTCATGGTGATCAAAGAAACAAAATACTGTGTCCCACTCTTCATCTAAAGCTAAATAGGGGTACTAGGATCTGTTACTTATGAAGTCCAATGGTTACTAGATCTTCTTGCAGATCTACATATCAATCATCCATCTCCACTATGCTTCATTGTGATAACCAGTCTGCACAACATATAGCAGCGAATCCTACCTTCCATGAACTCACCAAAGATATAGAGTTAGATTGTCATATTGTGCGAGAGAAAATTCAAGCCGGTGTCATTCATTTACTGCCTATACGAAGTTCCTAGCAATTGGCTGATGTTCTCACCAAGCCTCTTGATCCACAGCCTTTTTCTCCTTTAATGTCTAAATTTGGCATGATTACTATATACATACTCACTAGCTTGCCCGGGGAGTAACGGATTAATTATGTAAATAATAGCTTAGCTAGAATCAGTTAGTGGACAGCTGTAAATAAATACTTGTACTACTCATTTTGTGAATAAGGCAAATCTTTCACTCCCTCTCTTTCTCTTTCTTTCTTTTTCTGCATTAGCCTTCGACGTGTTATTGAAGGTAATTGGACAATCCATACGTTGTGGAAAATAAGCTCAATCTTTGAATTGTCTTTGCAAATTTGATGTAAGCATGGAAATATTAACACAACCAAAGTTTGACTGACTTGCGTCAACCTTTCCATCATCTTCATCGATCAACCCCACCTTTGACGTCCACATTCGGTGCATCCGTTGTTGACCCCTTTAAGTCTAATTTATTTTCCAATCAATAAGTACATTTTTAAAATTGATATTCAATAAAGATTATATTTATTTTTTTATTTTATATCTGTCAAAATTAAAAAACTAAAATATAATAATATAAAAAAGTTGAATTCGGGCTTGATGAGAATTCATAATTTCTGCAATAAAAGTTGATCTCCCTTGAAATATTATTGAAGACAATCAAATAGTAGATCATTTCTAATTACTCTCCTATTCTAATTATAAGTCTCAGTTTTCTGAACACACATATTAAACAAAAACTATATATATCAAGGTAATGTGTAAAAACAATTGCTTTTATCCTTTTCATTTCTTTTTTTTTTTAATTCCTGAGCGTTAAAGTTAAAATTCTCTTAATAAGCGTGCTTCCCAAAAATTATCCTTTTCATTGCTGTCCTCCATTAAATACCACTATTTTTTATGCTTTGTTTGCCTTCAAATTAATTTAATGCCATTATTTTAATGGATATTTTAGGGAAAATGCTTTAATTAACTTAGAAATTTATACTGAAACATATATTTAAAAAAAAAACTAATACTTGTATTGGGACAGAAGGAGTAACGAAATTTCTTTCAATTATTGATAAGAACTCTTACTATTTGTTTTGGTACTCGGTGAAAATTGGAATATCCAAAATCCCAAATGAAATATATTTTAATTATTCACTTTGGTTTTGCTCACCCCTATTATTCTAGCGGAACTACAATTGATGTTCTGGTTGCATTAGTTGGACTATTCAAATTTTAAAGCAAATAATCGATAACCACTCATTTTTATTTTTGTCTTTTGATATGAATGTGGAAAGGATTTAGCTTCTTCCTCACGTAAAGAAAAATGCTTCCGCACTTTCCATGAAAATAAACAAAGTAATAAAAACTCCACAAACTATGAAAGTCTTCGCCTCGTCTCATCAAACACCAATTAAGAACAAACCCTTCTTCAACCTCGCCATGGTTACTCACAGATACTTCTTACTCTTCTTCTTTTTTATCAGTAGCTTCCTCTGTTCTGCTACCATTGAAGCATTACGACCTACTTATCTTTACCACAACTGCTCCACCGCCGGAAAAAGCTTCTCTGCTAATAGTACCTTCCAATCCCACCGGACCACCCTCCTCTCCTCCTTAGCTTCAGCCAATGCCGCCTTCTACAACACCACCGTTCCTGGAGGCAGTGAAGCCATCTACGGCCTCTTCATGTGCCGGGGCGACGTCTCCCTCCAGGTCTGCCGCGAATGCGTCGCTAACGCAACCCAACTGCTACCTTCTGAGTGCCGGTTTTCGAAGGAGGCCGTAATCTGGTACGACGAGTGCATGCTTCGCTATTCCAACACCTCTTTCTTCTCCACCATTGATAAATGGCCGACCGTCGTCATATTGAACCCGTACAATATCTCCAACTCGCACCAGGCAAGATTCAAGAATTTCTTGCTGAATTTTATGAATGAGACAGCAAGTATGGTGGCGGTGGTGAAATCTGCGTCAGAGGGAAAGGCGTACGCGAAGAACCAAGCTAATTTTCAGTCTCAAACTGTATACAGTCTAGCTCAGTGCACGCCGGATCTACGGCTTGAAGATTGCAGAAGTTGTTTGCGTGGTGTGATTGGGAACATTCCGTTGTGTAGTGAGGGGAAGATCGGAGGAAGAGCTGTGAATCCCAGCTGCAACATTCGCTATGAGATGTCGCCGGCACTGGCCAGGGCTCCGGCTCCGACGCCTAGACGGCATCATCATCCTCGACCTCCAGGTAAAGAGCTAAACATAAATGCTCCTTCTGTTTTCTTTTTTATTTTTAAAATTATTAGAGTAGGCTATATATAAGAAAAAATGTATATATCTGTTTGGAAAAATATAAGTTTTATGTCTAAATGTTTTTTACCTGCTTGATCAAGTATCAATTTATTAACCCAAAATAACTGAAGCTCTATAATTTCTTGACTTGGTTAGTACCTATAATTGCTTAACTCAATAAAATTTAAGAATTGAGCTTTTTCGTCAAAGTTCAGGAATTATTAAGACTAAATTTTTTTTTTGTGATATTATAATTTTTATATCTCTATGTTTCCATATATAGTATGCAAATTGAATGTTTAGGAAATGAGGTTGATTTCAGGGACATAGTGGCTAACTGATGAAACTAATATCGGTGCTCCTTATAGTAATGATGTTGATCGCTGTGATAAGATTTGTATTGTCTCAGCATAGTTTCAATAGTTCAAATTTAAAATTTTTATGTGAAGTTTTTAAATAAAAGCCTTTTTTTTTTTTTTTTTGAAAAATGATAGTTAAAAAGTTATTTTTCTTTTATATTTATGCACATTAAAATATTATTTGTTAAAGTATAAAAATAAATTGTATTAAATTTGGATGGTCTAATTTTGATATCAACCATCCAGATCTGATTTTCATCATCTCCCAAATAATGAGCATCCAAGCTGAATCCATTAACCTAATGATTGAGGGGATTTTATAAGGAAAGAGGAAAAATAAGGAATGAGACATTAAATGTAAGACTTACACTGGGGGGGGGGGAGATGTCGTAGTAGCAATTATGTTATTGTATCTTGCTTTTGTAATGGTTATAACTTACAACCACTACGAAGAAGGTCGGTAGCCGTTTGAAAAGTCACTAACAAGATGGGTGTGATCACTAATTCAGAGTAACGGTTTTATAAACATTTATTACTAACTGATTTCATAATTTCATATTATAACTACATACTAATATTTAATTACTGCTTCAAATATCATTTCAACTAAATTAATTATCATTCGCATTACAAATTGATTCCTTATTAATTACTTAATAAATATTAAAATTAATTACAAATTCATAACAAGATAGAAATTAATTTAACTAAAAATAAAATAATTATGAGGCGGTTAATCATCATTATCATGGTAAACATTATTACCAGACTTAAGAGCACCTAAACACCGCTCCTCGTTGTAATGAAATCTTGATTACCACTGCGCGTCTGTAATAGGATTGAACCAAAGGGGTCCTAATGTTTTACTTCCTCCCTTTTTTCAATTTTTTTCATTTCAAATCTGATGGAAACATAAAGTGAGGTGATGCCATTTTCTTTCTTACTCAAAACTTCTGAAACTCTTTCCCCTTGCTTCTTGACAATCAATCAGCAAGGACAATTGTGATAATTGTGGCTTCTCTTTTTGTTGGCGGGGCAATTTTTTATTCGGCTTACTATCTCTTAAAGATTCGAATGAAGAAGAGTCATAGGGCTATTCTCAGACAAAAGTACTGTAAGTAATTTTTACTCATACAGTTTGGCTAGTTGGTAGATTCGGCATAGTTTATTTATTTATTTGGTTTATATTTGTCTAGTTGGAAGGGAAAGCACAACTTTAGAGCATCTGCAATTTAATCTGGCTACAATTGAGGCTGCGACAAATAAGTTTTCTCATGAAAATAGTTTAGGGAGAGGTGGATTTGGACAAGTTTTCAAGGTAACGATGGCCACATCGATGTAAAAAAAATTTTATGTGTTTGTGTTTATATTGTTTTTCCTTTTTTTTTTTAATCCAACTAACTATTATTCTAGGGTGTTCTTTCAAATGGTCAAGAAATAGCTGTGAAGAGACTTTCAAAAAGTTCTGGTCAAGGTGCAGAAGAGTTTAAGAACGAGGTTTTATTAATAGCTAGACTCCAGCACAGATATTTGGTGGCGTTATTAGGATTTTGTATTGAGGAGCGAGAGAAAATCCTTGTTTATGAATATGTTCCCAACAGAAGCCTTGATTACTTTTTATTTGGTATGAATCTTATAAACTCATTTAAACTTTTAGTTGGTATTTATAGTTCATTTGTGTCATGCATTTTATAGTTTCTTATTATTTTCGTTCATTTTGTCACTTTACCTTCAACAAATTTATGTAGGTTCCCAAAACAACAGGGTATTAGATTGGATGGAGCGTAGTAAAATCATAGGAGGAGTTGCTCGAGGAATTCTTTATCTTCATGAATATTCTCGCTTGAAAATCATACATCGCGATCTCAAACCTAGCAATATTTTGTTGGATGATGAAATGAATCCAAAAATTTCAGATTTTGGCCTAGCTAAAATAGTTGCTATTAGTGAAAATGAAGGAAGTACAAATCGAGTTGTTGGAACATAGTAAGTTCTACCTTTCTTCTTTTAAACTTGACATATGCACATGCATACATATATGCATATGCCTATATCTTGTTCTAGTTGAACAAAGAAAAATAATTTATGACTTAATTTGAAATACAAAAGTTTGGCTTTCAGCCAATCATTTCAAATGCTCAAATCTTATCATGTTTTGGATTAAATTTAATTGACATTGTCTTTTTTACAGTGGTTATATGTCTCCAGAATATGCAATGTTTGGACAATATTCTGAAAAATCAGATGTTTTTAGTTTTGGAGTTATAATTTTAGAAATTATTAGTGGAAAGAAGAACACGGGTTGCCATGATTCACAATATGCCGATGGCCTCTTAAGCTATGTAAGTTTTAATAATGTATTTCTCTCTTCTATTCTTGGCGTTTAAGAAGAATACATCATGTTATGATTTGCAGTACATTGATGATCACCTCAAAAACATGTTATTTAAGGCTTTCAAAACAATTCTTACAGATCAAGATTTCTCATGTAAGCAATGATCTTGACATTTAGCCTATATGTTTAGTATGAGGGAGATAGGGGGAAGGGGAGAAGCGGAAAACTTTTAATGGGTTCGATTTGAAAAATTGGAGAAGTGGGGTTACAAAATTTTAATAAAGATAAGATGTAAGATAAACGGCTAAGAAAAACTAACTATAAGTTTTTAACCCTGTTTTTTCAATTTTTCAAATCAAACCCATTAAAATTTTTCCTCCCCTGCCCTAAGTTTTTCTCATACCAAACAGACTTATTGGAAAAAGAATGATTAATTTGATAATATTGTATGATGAGCTAATAAAGGTGTATTATTCATTGAAGTCATATGTTTTTCTTAATATTTGCAGACTTGGAAGCAATGGAGGGATGACAAGATGCTAGACATATTGGATTCAAATATAAATGAATTGGGATCATACAATGAAGTGATCAAGTGCATTCAAATTGGTTTATTATGTGTTCAAGAAAATCCGAATACAAGGCCCTCCATGGCTACAGTTGTTTCATATCTTAGCAATGATTCTATTCAATTGCCATCACCACAGGAACCTGCTTTCTTTTTGCATGGCCAACCAGAGCCTATTATCACCAGTGCGAGTGGAGAATCATGCTCTTTTTATGAAGCTTCTATAAGTGAATTCTTCCCTCGCTAAAGCAGTTCTTATACAATCAGGCTTTTGGTTGGTATTTACAAGAAATGAAGAGATAACTTTCAATGATTCCCATCAATACACAATATTTGTACATTATGTTCCTAAGGAATATTTATTCTTCCCTCAATTAGGGGATGTAATTGAGTTTGTTTTGCTTGGGTAATGGAAATGAGATTTCATTCATATAGAATATCCAAGATTATTTGGCAATATTTTTCTCAAGTTATATTATATTTTGACTATTTTGTAAGAAGTTTGTGGTTAATTATGGTTCAGTGCTTTTGAAAAAAAACCTCCCTTTTGTTATCATCTTGAACTACTTCAACTCGTTATGCATAATATCTCATGAATTTGTTAATTTTTTCATTATCAATAAAACTCTTTCAATACGCCCTCTCCCTTAGGACATTAGGGCTATTTGGGTACCACTGATAACCTCTCAAAATTCCTACTGAATTAAGCTGATTTAACACTCTTTTATTGGGTTTATAAGTCAATTTTGCAGGAAACAAAGCCTGAGGAGAGTAAAGAATGGAGAAAAGCTGAAAAGAAGTCATCCGCCGCGGCCTTTGGAAGAAAATGCCGCGGCGGATCAAACAGAAAGGGAGGAGTGCGCCTCTGTGAAATCCGTCGCGGCGCCTTGTTGAATCTGTCGCGGCGCCCAAGCTATCTCGGAGGAAACCTGTTCGGTGAAATCCGCCGCGGCCAATTATCACGTGCACCGCGGCGCCTGAGCCACAATTCATTTTGTAATAGGCGCTGCGGTGCCTGAAGGAATCCGCCACGGCGCCTAGCCCCTCGCAGCTATGTGTTTTACTTGCTAACTTAAAAAATTAGGGCATATAGAGGTGGATACTCGGTTTTCTGAGAGGGAGTTCGACTTTTGGAGCAATTTTGGAGGCTGGCTCTGCTAGGGTTTGGAGTTTTGGAGGCTTGGAACCTTTGGGCTTGAAGCTAGAAGAGATTCAAAGCTTGTAACTTGAATTTTCTGGGTTTCCTTCTTCTTCCCTTCTTGTTTTGCTATGACTACTAGATACTCTTATAGTTGTAGTTCTTTACTCGATATGTATAGCTAAATCCGTTTTCTAGGGTTATTTTGATCTATTGTATGGATTGAGACTTGGTTTTACTATCTCTTGAGTGTTAATGATAATATTCAGTCGTTTTTACTTTGAGCTTAATGCTTCCTTTTGTCTAGCCATCATTTGGATTGATTGCTCAAGTTAAACTAATTCATGAATTTAGGTAAAAACATGCTAGTCCAGAAATTTAATTGAGTGAATAGATGGTTTGTCGATGGATCAGAGATGTATCTGTTGACCTAGCATAGACTAAATGGGTTTTGGTTTTTAAAGTGCAACCTTTTCAAACAAATGCAAGAGATTGCTGTGTTTTAATTGTGTTTGCAAACATTTGGTTTTGACTTGAGAAAGCTTAATCAGTTCTATAAACCCAGGCTAACTGAACTTATTGTAAAGCACTACTTGAGAAGTAATTAACCCAGTTTCATGAAGTACTTTAGTGAAGAATAACCCTAGTCTCTTAATTGTTTCAAGGTCAATTTGATTTTATACTGCTTTAAACCATTGTTTTCTTAATTTCATTTCACAAACTCTTTTACAAAAATTATTTCACTTAACCTAATCAAATACACAATTATGATTTTTCAACTCGTCTAGCCTTAGTCTCTGAGGGAACGATACTTTTTATATTACTTGCGACCCGTCCACTTGCGGTCAAGTTATTTGGAGAACAAGTTTTTAACACCGTTGCCGGGGACTAACGGCTAGAGTGTTTGAGGTTGATTGTCCTTATTATGTAATTGGTTACGCTTAAGTTTCAATTAGCATTTATAGCGGAAATAGGTAGTAGTAGTAGTTATTTTGTTCATTTCTCTTGATAAGTTTGATACTTTTGTTGTTGATTTGAATGTGCAGGTAACCCCTGACGTATGCAAGGAAGATTAGAAGTTATTGTGGAAGAAGTTACTGAAGAAGTATCCAGGTCAGGAGAAACTGAAAACACACCGGAGATTCAACAACAACCTCAGTTACTTCCACCACCACCACCACCACCTGAATCAGAATCAGAAGAAAACATGGCGGAGGAAGACGAGAATGATGTGTACACCCTGGATGACTATTTGGATAAAGAAGGGCAGACTTTTCACTCAAGTATCCGGCTACCAGACATTCAAGCCAGGAATTTTGAAATCAAGCCCGTTATGATTCAACTACTGGGGATGATGGGTACTTTTGAAGGAAATTTTAAGGATGATCTGAATGAGCATTTGACCAAGTTTATAGAGGTTTGTGAGAACTTCAAACAAACTGGGGTTACTAAAGATGCACTGCGATTGAGATTGTTCCCCATGTCGCTATCTCACAAGGCGAAAACGTGGTTGAATTCTTTACCAGAACACTCCATTAAGACTTGGGATGAGCTTGTATCTAAGTTCAAGGCCAGATTTATTCCAAGGGGCAAACGCGCTACATTAAGGGGTGAATTGCTTTCTTTCGAGCAGCATCCGGATGAGTTATTTTACAAGGCTTGGGAAAGATTTAAGGATATGTGGAGAAATTGTCCAAATCATGAGTAGAAGAAATATGTTCTAATGGAAGCCTTCTGGAATGGGTTGAATGATCAGACAGTGACAATACTAAATACTGCTTCAAACGGAGGAATAGGGAAGATGAAGGTAAATGAGCTATATGAACTGTATGAAAAGGTGGCATCTAGCACTATGCAACAGTATAACAAGAGAAGGCAAAGTTCTGGGAGATATAAGGAGCCTAGTTCTTCATCATCAAGGGACATTGCATCGCAACTTGAAGCAATATCTAAGAGATTTGACAATCTGGAATTGCAGATTAAGAAAGGAAATGCTGCAGGAGTTCATGCACTTCAGGCTCCAGGATACACTTGTGACCATTGTAATGAGGAACATCATTCTGATCAATGCCCATACACCTTGGAGACAGTCAATTATATGAATAATGCGTAGCGAAGACCACAAGGAAGCCCTTACTCTCAAACTTACAATCCAAATTTGAGAAATCACCCAAATTTCTCTTAGCGAAATGGGCCAAGTTTGAATCCTCCACAAATATTACCATCTGGTGCTAAACAAATGGGGCCTCCTGGTTTTCATGGTCAACCATAGCAACATCAATTGCAACAACAGCATCCTCAAAAGGAAGAATCCAAAATTGAGAAGATGTTTGCTCAACTATTAGCAAATCAAGAATCTACAAGGGTTGAGAATAAGGCAACATTTTCTCTCCATGAAACTACCATCAAGAATCTCGAGGTGCAAATGGGTCAACTGGCTTCACAAATGAATGTACTCACAAGAAGCAGCTTACCAAGTGATACCATTCCCAATCCAAAAAGGGATGGTAATGAAGAGTGCAAAGCGATCAGTTTGAGAAGTGGAAAGCAATTACCTAACATTCAGAGGCCTAGTTAGACCGGCAAGGACATCACTAACAGTATGGTGACTGACCTTGATACAAATGAGCTTTCAGAAGAAGGTGGTGTAGTAGAAGAGGAAGAAACCAAGAAAAGGAAATAGACAGAAGAAAATCTCAATGATGTGGTTCGAGGAAAGAATGTAGAGGGTGAAATGGTTGATGATAAAAAGAGGAAGACAACTCCCCCTCTTGCTACACAGATGCCACCGCTTCCATTTCCTCAAAGGTTCAAGAAGAAAGATGAAGATGTCCAGTTCAAGAAATTTGTGGACATGTTTAAGCAATTACACATCAACATCCCGTTTGCTGAAGCATTAGGGCAGATGCCTAAGTATGCTAAGTTTCTTAAGGATGTTCTCTCCAAAAAGAAGAGATTTGGTGAATTTGAAATGGTGGCTCTGACTGAAGATTGTAGTGCCATCTTGCAATGAAAACTCCCACCCAAATTGAGAGATCCAGGCAGCTTTTATATTCCTTGTAACATAAGCAAACACTTCAATGGAAAAGCCCTATGTGATTTGGGAGCAAGTGTTAACTTGATGCCTCTAGCTGTATTTAATCGATTAAATTTGGGTGAAGCTAGGCCAACAACTATTACATTGCTCTTTGCTGACAGAAGTATCTCATATCCAAAAGAGATTGTAGAAGATGTCTTGGTAAAGGTAGATAAATTCATATTTCCAACTGATTTTATTGTGTTAGACTGTGAGGTAGATTAGAATATCCCCATTATTTTGGGACGGCCATTCTTAGCTACTGCAAGAACCCTCATTGACGTAGAAAAGGGTGAGATCACCATGCGAGTAAATGATGAGAAGGTGATATTCAACATGAATCAAGCCTTGAAGTTTCCAGATGATTTGCTCACTGTAATTGTATCGATGTGATTGATTCTACAGTGCAAGAGGAGTTGATTAACTCTTTGACCAAAGACCCATTAGAAGCATTGTTGATTGGAGAAACAAGTAGTATTGATGGCAAGGTTGAAGCTTATGCAGAAATGATGAGTATTGAAGCATTTTCGTATCGAAAAGCTAAGACTTTTGAGCCTCTGGATGTGACTAGTGCTTTAAGCTCTCCTCTAAAGCCTTCTGTGGATGAGCCGCCAATGTTGGAGTTGAAGACTTTACCATCACATCTCAAGTATGCCTACTTGGGTAATTCTACTTCTTTACCTGTGATCGTTTCTTCTAAGTTGTCCACGTTGCAAGAAGAGAAACTGTTAAGGGTCTTGAGACACCACAAGAAAGCTATTGGGTAGTCCATAGCTGACATCAAAGGGATCAGCCCTTCTATTTGTATTCACAAGATTTTCTTAGAGGATGGTCACAAACCTTCCATTGAGCATCAAAGGAGATTAAACCCGGTTATGGAAGAAGTAGTCAAGAAAGAGATCCTGAAATGGCTTTCTGCTGGCATAGTCTACCCTATTTCTAATAGTTCATGGGTGAGCCCAGTTCAATGCGTCCCTAAAAAAGGTGGTATAACTGTAGTGGCTAACACCCGAAATGAGCTAGTTCCAACTCGTACTGTGACTGGGTGGAGAATTTGCATGGATTATCGAAAGTTAAATACAGCAACCAGAAAAGACCATTTCCCGCTGCCATTTATTGATCAGATGTTGGATAAACTTGCTGGGCAAGAATTATTTTGTTTCTTGGATGGGTATTCAGGATATAACCAAATTGTAATAGCCCCAGAAGATCAAGAGAAAACAACCTTTA